GAGGCATTTTCATAACAAAGACGGTTGCATGAAGACGATAAACATCCCAGTGTCACCCACAGGGTACGGGTAATTTACATGTTTGTCGTGTATCGAAATATGAATTGTAAATAGTGTATCGTGCCAAATATATGTGAGTTACTGAATAAATACAGCAGTTTCAAGAAAGTGGTAATTGTATTTATAATTTTAAGTGTAATTTACAACATGGACCAGGTTTATATTGTATCTTATGAGTGATGTCGGGATCGAGTTTTCGCCCTTGATGAATTGTTTGAATTTTTATTATAGGGTTAAGATAATGATTTTGTATATCATTGATTATTAAGTTCATGTTCATGTACAGAATATAGTATTGTACAATAAAACACTCGCCCCTCATGGTTTTATTCTCCCTGCAGTGTTGTATTGTACCCCCACTCGTCGTTTATTTCTTCAACAGTGGCCCGCTCATTTATGATAACATGTGGGCAATATTACTCACTCATGATCACTGACGGTAATAGTTTTGTTTCCAGCTTTCGGACACATTAATGTTCTCACTATCATTGGACATTCATGCACACAATTTCTTTTGTGAAATTATATTGAGCATGTTGAGGATTTTTTTATAAAGTACATAGGAAACTGTAACAACGGGAGATGACTCAGACTTTGTGTATGTAAATCACATAGCATTTCCAAGCTCAAGTAATACGTTTGCTAAATGCTACTTGGAGAATGAAGAGCATGAAAGAAGCATGACCAATGGACTACTTACGTGCGCATGCGCTTGACCTTATGATATTACGCATGCGCACGGACAGCGTCTAAAACGCGAGAACACGAGAACGCGAGATCGCGAGAAAATGAAATGTCGCATTCTCGCGTTCTCGCGATTTCGTGTTTTTGTGGCCTTTTTTTACAAGTCGAGATTGCGAGATTGCGAGATTTTGCACCATGTCCAAACGTCGCATTCTCGCGTTGTCGACTTTTGACAAAAAGTGCTATGCACCAAAAACACGAGAATGCGAGATCGCGAGAACGCGAGATTTTGGCCAAATCTCGCGTTCTCGCGATCTCGCATTCTCGTGTTTTGGGCATATTTACCTCGTTTCCAAAGGTCGAGATCGCGAGAATGCGAGATCGCGAGAATGTCCCTTACAGTATTCCATAGCTTTGTATGTACTGGAGAAAGCACGATGTATTAAGATTCCCATTGTTTCCATAAATGATAAAAACGTCAAACATTAGAGTGGGCGAATCGAGTTGGAACTGCTTTTACTGAAATATTAACCATATAATAACCGAACAGTGTATGAAAAAGAGCTATCATTTCGTTATCTCGATAACGGATGTCTCATTGTCAAGATGACCTCTCTACTACAGATTTCTCCTTGTCAGGGATATCTCTATCACGGATCTCTCCTTAATTTCAAGGAAATCTCTTTATCACGGATCTCTCCTTAATTTCAAGGAAATCTCTCTGTAACGGATCTCTCCTTAATTTCAAGGAAATCTCTCTGTAACGGATCTCTCCTTAATTTCAAGGAAATCTCTCTGTAACGGATCTCTCCTTAATTTCAAGGAAATCCCTTTATCACGGATCTCTCCTTAATTTCAAGGCAATCTCTCTGTAACGGATCACTCCTTAATTTCAAGGAAATCTCTCTGTAACGGATCTCTCCTTAATTTTAAGAAAATGTCTCTGTAACGGATCACTCCTTAATTTCAAGGAAATCTCTCTGTAACGGATCTCTCCTTCATTTCAAGGAAATCTCTCTGTAACGGATCTCTCCTTAATTTCAAGGAAATCTCTCTGTAACGGATCTCTCCTGAATTTCAAGGAAATCTCTCTGTAACGGATCTCTACTTAATTTCAAGGAAAACTCCCTGTAACGGATCTCTCCTTAATTTCAAGGAAATCTCTCTGTAACGGATCTCTCCTTAATTTCAAGGAAACCTCCCTGTAACGGATCTCTCCTTAATTTCAAGGAAATCCCTTTGTAACGGATCTATCCTTAATTTCAAGGAAATCTCTCTGTAACGGATCTCTCCTGAATTTCAAGGAAATCTCTCTGTAACGGATCTCTCCTGAATTTCAAGGAAATCTCTCTGTAACGGATCTCTCCTTAATTTCAAGGAAATCCCTCTTTAACGGATCTCTCCTTAATTTCAAGGAAATCTCTCTGAAACGGATTTCTCCTTAATTTCAAGGAAATCTCTATGAAACGGATTTCTCCTTAATTTTAAGGAAATCTCTCTGTAATGGATCTCTCCTTAATTTCAAGGAAATATCTCTGTAACGGATTTCTCCTGAATTTCAAGGAAATCTCTCTGTAACGGATCTCTCCTTAATTTTAAAAAAATGCCTCTGTAACGGATCACTTCTTAATTTCAAGGAAATACCGCTGTAACGGATCTCTCCTTAATTTCAAGGAAATCTCTCTGTAACGGATCTCTCCTTAATTTCAAGGAAATCTCTCTGTAACGGATTTCTCCTGAATTTCAAGGAATACTCTCTGTAGCGGATCTCTCCTTAATTTTAAGAAAATGCCTCTGTAACGGATCACTCCTTAATTTCAAGGAAATACCGCTGTAACGGATCTCTCCTTAATTTCAAGGAAATCTCTCTGTACCAGATCTCTCCTTAATTTCAAGGAAACCTCCCTGTAACGGATCTCTCCTTAATTTCAAGGAAATCTCTCTGTAACGGATCTATCCTTAATTTCAAGGAAATCCCTCTGTAACGGATCTCTCCTTAATTTCAAGGAAATCTCTCTGAAACGGATTTCTCCTTAATTTCAAGGAAATCTCTATGAAACGGATTTCTCCTTAATTTTAAGGAAATCTCTCTGTAACGGCTCTCTCCTTAATTTCAAGGAAATATCTCTGTAACGGATTTCTCCTTAATTTCAAGGAAATATCCCTGTAACGGATTTCTCCTAAATTTCAAGGAAATCTCTCTGTAACGGATTTCTCCTTAATTTCAAGGAAATCTCTCTGTAACGGATCTCTCCTTAATTTCAAGGAAATCTCTCTGTAATAGATTTCTACTTAATTTCAAGGAAATCTCTGTAACGGCTCTCTCCTTAATTTCAAGGAAATTTCTCTGTAATAGATTTCTCCTTAATTTCAAGGATTTCTAATGAAAACGTTCTCTCTATGACCCATCTCACTCCATCACTCCATGTTTCTATCAAGGCGTTCTCTCCATCATATCCTTATCACAGATTTGTCTTTATCACAGATCTCTCTTTATCACGGATCTCTCTTTATCACGGACCTCTCTTTATCACAGATCTCTCTTTATCACAGATCTCTCTTTATCACAGATCTCTCTTTATCACGGATCCCTCTTTATCACGGATCTCTCTTTATCACAGATCTCTCTTTATCACGGATCTCTCTTTATCACAGATCTCTCTTTATCACGGATCTCTCTTTATCACGGATCTCTCTTTATCACAGATCTCTCTTTATCACAGATCTCTCTTTATCACGGATCTCTCTTTATCACGGATCTCTCTTTATCACGGATCTCTCTTTATCACGGACCTCTCTTTATCACAGATCTCTCTTTATCACGGATCCCTCTTTATCACGGATCTCTCTTTATCACAGATCTCTCTTTATCATAGATCTCTCTTTATCACAGATATCTCTTTATCACAGATCCCTCTTTATCACGGATCTCTCTTTATCACAGATCTCTCTTTATCACAGATCTCTCTTTATCACGGATCTCTCTTTATCACGGACCTCTCTTTATCACAGATCTCTCTTTATCACAGATCTCTCTTTATCACAGATCTCTCTTTATCACCGATCTCTCTTTATCACGGATCTCTCTTAATCACGGATCTCTCTTTATCACGGATCTCTCTTTATCACGGATCTCTCTTTATCACGGATCCCTCTTTATCACGGATCTCTCTTTTTCACGGATCTCTCTTTATCACAGATCTCTCTTTATCACGGATCTCTCTTTATCACGGATCCCTCTTTATCACGGACCTCTCTTTATCACAGATCTCTCTTTATCACAGATCTCTCTTTATCACGGACCTCTCTTTATCACAGATCTCTCTTTATCACGGATCTCTTTTTATCACAGATCTCTCTTTATCACGGATCTCTCTTTATCACGGATCTCTCATTATCACAGATCTCTCTTTATCACACATCTCTCTTTATCACGGATCTCTCTTTATCACGGATCTCTCTTTATCACAGATCTCTCTTTATCACACATCTCTCTTTATCACACATCTCTCTTTATCACACATCTCTCTTTATCACAGATCTCTCTTTATCACAGATCTCTCTTTATCACAAATCTCTCTTTATCACGGATCTCTCTTTATCACGGATCTCTCTTTATCACGGATCTCTCTTTATCACAAATCTCTCTTTATCACGGATCTCTCTTTATCACAAATCTCTCTTTATCACAGATCTCTCTTTATCACGGATCTCTCTTAATCACGGATCTCTCTTTATCACGGATCTCTCTTTATCCCGGATCTCTCTTTATCACAAATCTCTCTTTATCACGGATCTCTCTTTATCACAAATCTCTCTTTATCACACATCTCTCTTTATCACGGATCTCTCTTAATCACGGATCTCTCTTTATCACGGATCTCTCTTTATCACGGATCTCTCCCACTCTTTTACAGATCTCCCCCGCACTGTCGCGGGTCTATCCCTATCACAAGAGTATTGTCAGAGGTGACAAGATAGATCCTGATATACCAGCAGGAAGTATCGTTACATATCCACCACATATTTGAAATCAAACCATAGTTTTCTAGCTTAAACCCTGATAGGAACAAATTGACCAGGTTATTCCCTGGCTATGCTTACACAATTGTCAATATTAACAAGACACTTCACTACTGCTTCGTTCACATACATTGTGTTCACATAAAAGTGTCGCAACAGGTGTCCCATGACTGACGATATAAGATTGCCCAAGCTATGCATAATATACATTTTACTATGTTTCCTGTTTTCAGATGGGCACTATTCTTCGTGACGCTGCTGCACACGGGCTCAGGGTACGCTCACTACCGAGATAAAATACCCAACGGTCACAATGTCCCCAGCCCCTGCAAACCCGGGGAGACGTGGGCAGGGGTGGGGCACAAGCTGATGGCAGGGGGCGGGGTCAGGAACACCTTCGGACAGGATTTTGCAGACAACGGCAGGGTGAGTGCAAGTTGTCGATAAAGTCCTGTGTGTGTGTGTGTGTTTTGGGGCCTGTGTGGGGTGTGGGGTTAGGGCGATGGTGGCATTGGTGTGTGTGTGTGTGTGTTTCGGGGATTGGGTGGGGTGTGGGGGATGGTGACGGTGGTGTGTTTGTGTGTGTTTTGGGGATTGGGTGGGGTGAGGGGTGGGGTGTGGGGTGTGGGGTGTGGGGTGTGGGGTGTGGTGGCAGTGGTGTGTGTGTGTGTGTTGCGGATTAGGTGGGGGTGGGGTGGGGGTGTGGGGTGGGGTCGTGGCTGTGGTGTGTTTGTGTGTGTTTTGGGGATTAGGTGGGGTGAGGGGTGGGGTGTGGGGTGTGGTGGCAGTGGTGTGTGTGTGTGTGTTGCGGATTAGGTGGGGGTGGGGTGGGGGGTGGGGTCGTGTGTGTGTGTGTGTGTGGGGGGTGATGGTGGCATTGGTGTGTGTGTGGGTGTGTTTGACCTACCCATAGTGACGTACAGATTATATTTCAGCACAGCTTCATTTGATTTCCATGACATGTTTGTTTGTGGGAGGTAGACTCGGTTTGTCTCTGACGGGTCATAGAAAACTCGATGTGTACATTAAACATGCAAAGCATACACAACGCATCAGGCGCCCATGGTTTGGCCGGGAAATACACACAGATATAAAGAAAATCAGACATCCAAATACAAGCAAAATTATGGTGCCGACAAACCTAGAAATATAATCGGGGCGAACCGGGATTCGAACCCAAGATCATAGGTTTCTGGCGTGCCCAAGGGACGCATCTCTGCACAGCGAATTGTGGCGCCTTAGACGACTCTCGTGCCCCGTGTAAAAAAACCTCTCTTCATAAGTTTAATTGCATTCCACATTGGTAAATTTTTAAGTTAGAGGATTCGTAAACCAAGCAATAAAACATCCAGTAAAAACTTTTTTTTCACCCCAGGAATGGACAAGAGCGTTGTGTGAGAAGGATTCGGACAGTGACGGATTGACCAATGGTCAGGAACTGGGCGACCCCAACTGTACCTGGTCTCAGGGAATGACAAACCCCACCGGTTCAACGCTATCCCACCCAGGTGAGTGTGAGATGTGTCACATGACCTAGTTAAGGGGGTTGAAGTCTACCTTGAATCCCGAACACTATCCAATTTGTAACACCATTGCTCACCCCTGAATCCCGAATACTACTTAACACAAATATCATAAGTATTGAGAAAAGGGTGCGATTCGGTGTTAAATTTCTCCCAAAATTTCGAAAATGAAAACATTATAAAACATACTTAAACATACACCATCAATTTGTTTCATATATTGAATCTCCGTACCCCAGGTGTGTGTGACCCCTGGAACGACCCCAAGTGTCTGGCCAAAGACGAGAGTTGGGTACTGACGGCCTGTCAGGCTTCGGACTTCACCTGCAACGGCATCAAATACGTCAGTACGTATCTTTCCCACAGTTGGGCGGGGAATCAATTCTATATTTCTGCGGGTGTTTTTCATCTCCCGACAGTCCTGTATCACCCTCCTGATCATTCTCGTTATTCATGTATGCACCCATTCATCCCGCTTGAGTATATACCACCCCACTCTGGAAGGAATAAGTAATGTCCATGCCATCAATTTGTTGTTAATTTGATGCGATGATTATTATTACCCATATTATGACATGCTTTAGACTGACTATGGACCCCATTCCACAGAGAGGTGTTATTGCTTCACCTATGGCAGCTATATTTCTTTAAACAGATTATGATATTCGTAGTTTACAACCGCTTCATTGAGTGGAGTGTTCTACAGGGTTATGTACCTTGGTCCTACCAAGATCTGCTTTCGTGGATTCTTATCAACACTCCAACACACACTGGTATACCTGTTCTCGTGGGTTTCACAAAAGTGGTACATCATCATTTTATTTTGGTGATAAGGCTTGAGGCCCTCACAGTTGTAAATAAATATTGGGGTGCCTGGGATTTTGTATTGAGATTAGATATTTGTTCAGCTACAGCTCCAAAATCAGATTTCTGGAACTATGAGCCCCGAATGTTTGATTAAGAAATACACCTTGTAGCAAATGTTATTCTTGTGCAAAGCATTTTTTTTTAACAATCTGAAGCATAATTATAAGTCTCAATCTTGTACCCGCGTGCACCCGGTTACCTCCCCTTACCAACTTGAACACCCGTGCACCCAGTTACCGATAGTTTCGGAATATGCTTTGTAACATTGCGACCAATTTCCAACCAGACGTGCGAAACAAGGATTTGAGGATACCCAGGACTGCCGTGCCACCAGTTGAAACAACCTACATGTGTCAGATCTTCTCCATCCCTAACGACACCGACTACCACATCATTGCCAGCAAGCCTATCATCGACAACGTCAACATTATGCACCACGCCGTCATCTTCGGCTGCACTGAAGGTAATAATAAAGTCAAATAGGTAATTAGAGTGAAAACTGTAGACATTCTCCCCGGGACAATGCGGGTTAGACAGATCCTAGCAACCTAAACTTGTCGTGAGAGTCAGGAGTTTTGCTGTGGGGCTTGTCATATGATTTACATTCTTTGGGATTGTTAGTGTCGTATTATACTGATCCTTGAGGATTGCAGGTAATAATCTAGATTTTCAACAACCCCACATTAAGCTGACACGCCGTGATATAACTGGAATACTGTTCAAAGTGGCGTTAAACCCAACTCACACACTCACTTAATCTGTAAATCAACCATTTGGAACAATACTCCAGGTGAAATATTACGCTGTTTAATAATTGTGTTGTGTGTGGATATGGCCTTACTGACTTTAGAGAACCGACAGTATCTAACCGAAAAATGTATACTCAAATAACTATAGTATGTAGAGATACCTTGACAGACAGACCCCCAGTCAAAGTTTACCAACGGCTGCAGCCACTCCTATTCCCTCTCACAAACACACACACACATACACACTCTCTCTCTCTCACAACAAACTCCCTTTCTATCACTCACACACACACTCACACACACGCCCTCTCTCTCACTCACACACACTCCCTCTCTCTCACTCACACTCATACACACACAGAGGAAACATACCCACCGAGAGACACATACACAGAGGCACACACACAGACACACACTGAGACACACACACAGACACACCCATACACATTCACACTCACACAAAGACACGCGTGCACACAGAGGCACAGACACACAGACACTCACACATACACACAGAGAGACACACATAGACAGACACATATACACACACGAACACACAAAGACACATGCACATAACATACACACAGAGACCCACACACAGACACACATACAAACACACGTAACCACACAGACACACACCCAGTGACACACACCAAGACACACGCAGACAGACACACACCGACAGACGCACACACAGTCACACATACACACACATTCACACATACATACAGACAGACACATGCACACACACATACACAGGCGCACGCACGCACACACACGCACAGACACACGCAAAAGTTTTTTAAATTGTTCAACATCTGTTGGTATGACGCGACCGGGTGAATAAACCACCGACATTCCTGTTCAGGCGCTCTGGCCATGCAGGTGGTTCTTGATGAAGGAGGTTTGACCGTCTTCTCCTCTTTCAGACGAACCTGAATCCCTTGCCCCCTTTGCTTGCGGCATGCTTCCTGGTGGGAGCTGTCGGGCCGTCACAAGTATCTGGACACTGGGCAGTTCAGGTGACTGCATACACGAGTCGGTGGGATTCAGGATGGGGGTACACGGCTTCAAGAAGTTAGCTGTTCAGGTAAGTTGCAGCTACTGCCATCTGTTGATAGGATGGCCTCCTGATATTTATATGCAATACTTGAATGAGTAAGTGAGCTAAGATTACGCTGCTTTGAACAACATTGCGGCTAAATCACGGCGTGTCAGGTCAATGTGGGAGAAGAGCTGGAAGTGGACCAGGTCGTTTACAACCATAGTGAAACCACTTCAATCACTTAAAACACAAATTTCATACACAATAAAAGACACTATAAACCTTTCAAATAATATTGATCAAATGTATTGTTATTCCCTGGACAATGCAGTCCTCCTATTAAAAGAACAAGAAGGGAACATATAAACCCGTTATTGTAAAAATAAATTATTCACTTCAAATAGAAGTAATATGTATTTCCCCCAATGAATCGACCGATCCAAACAACTCCTTGCCAAATAAATTGAAAACAATATTGTGCTACACAAATGTATTCATATTTATATTTCGACCCAACCTTTTAGAGAAGCATAAATCGGTAGAACATAAAACACAAATTGTAAACTGGTTCGGGCAGCAAGCTCGGCGCTTTGTGACCATATCCGGTTAAAGGTGCGCATGCTTAACGTCCTTAATTATGGAAGGTAAGTAAACATGGAAACATGTATCTTTGCTAGGGGCGAGAAAGCATAAACTTCTTATATAATATTAATTTTGGTCCAAACTATTTTACTTCACTTCAGTGTCATCCAATCGCAGCCTACAAGAACTTTGCCAATGCCTGCTTTTGTGCAGGGAGACCGGAGACCAGTCAAGTGTCATTCTTTCTAACTCATTCACACTTTTCACAGCTGCATTGGAACAATCCCGAAAAGAGGAGTGACTATTTCGACCAATCAGGAATGACGATCTACTTCACCCCGGTCCTGCGAACTTATGATGCAGGTATCCTGACAACTGGTCAAGAGAGCCTACTGATCCCACCTGGAGAGCCTAGTGTGAAGACCCTGGCCAGAACCCCCGGCGCATGTACCAACCGTTCCTTCACAGGGACAATCTATGTAACAGCAACCCTGAACCACATGCATTACCTGGGTATGTGCTGTTATATATAATGATGATAATAGTAATGCTGATAATACTAATGCTTCAGAAAAGGATGAAAATAACATCACCAATAGTAATATAAACAATGATGATGATAAGGAAGAGAATTTATGGATGTCGACTTCTTTATAATGAGGAACACAACGTTTCGGAGTATACATGTATGCTTACTCCTTTATCATCCTAATGAAGGAGTAGGAAAGACTACGAAACGTCCTATGTTCCTCATAATAAAGAAGTTGACATCCGTAAATTCCTTATGTGTATCACTTCTAAATGCCTTTCATAGACTTGATAATGATAATAGTAATAACAGTGATAAGAACGATGATGATCATAAACATAACGTTATCAGCAACAAACACAATATTATAATAGTTTCATAATAGCGGTGCGTACTTTACCACAAAATATTACAAAGGTCGCATCATTTTCTCTGGGGATTACTGAAGTAGTTCAAATGTTATGTTGAAAAGTAAAGTAAACAAATATGCAGAATAAACGCGATCTTCCCTGATAACTCTCTTCACAGCTGAATATATTCCCTCGCCATAACCAAAGACTTCGCGCTTGTTTCGTCATTGTGTCGTGGTATCAGGCTCAGTTTCAAATTTTGATTTATAAATCTCGAATCTACGTTTTAAACCTCCAAATTGAAAAACAACCCACTAGGTTTATCTTCTAAATATTTGTTTGTAATTTGTTTTCGACGAACATATTTTGTAGTATTTTCAGAAACTACCGATAAATATTTGTGATGTACATGTATGTCATTATGTATGCACCTCCAAAATGGGCAAGTGTGGTGGCCCAGTCGTTTAAAGTGCCGCAATTCGCTGTGCAGAGTTGCGTACCTTTGGCGTGTAAGGAACCTATGATCGTGGGTTCGAGTCCCAGTTCGAGCAGATTATGTTTCTTGGTTTGTCAGCACCATACCCATGCTCGTGAGGTTCACCAAAGTGGTAAACGTCTAAGACCTGCTTCACTTCGGACCTTCCCTCCACATAAGGCGAACATATATAACTGATACATCTGATACACTGTTCGTAATGGCTTTAAAGCCAACTCACTCATTTATGTGCTAATTTGTAAATCGTCAGGAATCTCCCAATCTCTGGAGCTGTACAGGAATGGCGTCAAAGTCCGAGATGTTGCAAGTGACCCAAAATATAACTATGACAATCCATTATTTCACAAGTAAGTGATCACGTTTGACCAGTAATTTAACTCTTTCAGATAATCAGTTTAAAAGTTAAACACAGTGAAATGAAACCTCCTTAATTCAGACTACAGTGCCCATTAATTAGTCCGGTTTAACAGTTATCCGGAATAACGAGTCTTCGTTTCAGAGGAAGTTTCCCTTTTAACGTGCAAGTTCAGGCTCCATATACGTAACGTTCACTGGACCATATGGCTGCTGTTGGTCTCAGTTAAATCAGTTTGTTTCGGGCTTTCTTCACAGTATCTGGTACTTTTCCTTTAGCAAACATAATTTATATTTAGTGTATAATTATAACTGATATAGCAGGGTAGTCCTAAGATGTTGTAATTGTATGTACGGAGTTGTGTCCCTTAGGAGTGCCGGGATCCGCGGGTACCAAACCCGTGCTCAAGGGTTTCACTAATGTGAACTTACTAACCGTGGTATAACTTAATACTGTTGACCCCAAGTCATGCCTGTTGTCAATGGATATACTTCACAAGGCGATTATATTCTGGTATCTTTAGAAAAATGTGTAAAAACATAACAAGAAATCCTATCTGATATGATGAGGATCCGATAACCCAACTGACTCGACCGTCAGCGTAAGTCGCTGTTTGGGATAAAGCTAATAGCACACATGGACGTAAATACCAAACACTGCTTTCGCGAACACCCCGTGAACACCACTGATTTTTGGTGATCCAGTCATACAATTTTCACCACCATGTCATCACAATATAAATGATATTGTTCATTGTAAATGTTTTATGCACAGATTCAGTGACCCCATTGAGATCCGACCTGGCGACGAGCTGAGGACGCATTGTGAGTTCGCATCCTCCAAGAAGTCTACGACAACAATGTTCGGTGATGCGACGTCCGACGAGATGTGCTACAGTTTCATCACCTACTACCCTCAACAGAACTCCAACAGACCATTCCTCACCAACTTCAAGAGTATTCCTAAATGCATGCTTGGCATTGAGGACACGTACGAAGGTTGTGCTTGGAAGACGATTTTATCCGACCCCGAATTATTGCAGCTTCAAGTCCTTGTGAACACCACTTGCAACTTGTTTGAGAAGTGTTCGCCGGCATGTTACAATGCCATTCAGACAACAAAGCAGCACAAATGTTTCCAGGGCGATATATGGAAATATAACATCTATACACTGTTAAGGATGAAGATCACCATCACGTTTCTCATGAAGTTGCGGTCGTGTGAGTGTGAAGACGTTGCACCCTCCTCAGCACCCCCTACAGCCCCCGACGCGGTCTCCAAGCCTGACAACAGCACCTGTGACTGGGCAGGCTTATATGTTCCATCGGTTGGAAACCCACTCGACACCATCATCATCAACGTCACTGGCAGTTGTGCTGCTACGGGCGACTGTCTCCAGGAGTGCGTGCCTGCTGTCAGGGCTGCGAGGGAACATCCGTGCTTCCAGGGAGCGGAGTGGGAACACGGACGGCGCTACCTCTATGAAAGATCAAACTCCAAGACTCTGGAGTTTCTCTTGGACTTTGAATCCTGTAATTGCGAGTTGGGGATCGCTGCTACAACAGGTGCAGTTTCATTTCAGTATAGTTGTCAGCACCTTGTTCTGATAACAATCATTTCCGTCTTCAGGGTTCTTGCTTAAACCAACTCGATATACCTGTACCTGTACCGGTGACTAAGTAAATGAGGTTATCTATCCAGATCTTTTTTCGATGCCATGGCTTCTATTTCCTATTTCCTCTTTCACGATATTCTCCAAATGCTGGTTGTTTACGTAGGCTTCACATAAACTGTGTAATACACATAATGACGTGCACACATCGTGTTTTATATATTACTATAACGTTGTAACCCCCCGCTTGTCAACTGCTGTAACAGTTGTTACTGTAACTTCTTTCTCCTACTGCTACTGTTACTACAACTACTACTACTCCTACTACTACTGTTACTACAACTACTACTACTACTGCTGCTGCTGCTGTTACTACATATTCTACTCCAACTGCTACTGTTACTACAACTACTCCAGCCACTACTCCAACTGCTATTAGTAATCCTCATCCTCGTCCTATTACTACAACATCTACTATTTCTGCGACTACAACATCTACTACTACGGCTACAACAACAACTACTACTTCTACTATTATATTTTGTAATAAATATAATGACGTACATGCATGGTGTTTTCGTAATTACTATAACATTGTCACTGCCCACGTGCCTTAGTAGTGATTTGAGATTCTCACACTCGCAATTTGCTTGTCCTGGACAAAAAGTTGGCATTGTTTGATCAATGCTCTGAAGAGTCGTTGTCACCACGAACAGCCTTAGTTTTCCTTCTCTTAGTTTGGCAAGTTTCCCCTGTGTCCGAGTGCTAAATGAATTTAAGTTCTAGCGGATAAAGGCAATCGAAAGCAGTATATGAATGTGTCCAGTTGATCATGGATCCATTTGTCCATTTGCTGTTTGTTGCGTTATCCACTGTCAGCTAGTTGAGTCTGGGAGACATTGATATGGCCGGTATTCCACGCAGTTAGGAGACACTGACAACTCACGACTGATCAAACTTGTTCACCTCTTATCTTATACACTTCTGGGGACCTATTCACCCAAGGCCCTCATTGACGTTGTGTCGTATTGACTGACACTACCACTCCAGTTGCAATGTTTACAAGAGGTGAGTGAATGAGTATAGTTTTACGCCGCTTTTAGCAATATTTCAGCAATATCACGCAAGGGACACCGGAAATGGGCTTCACACATTGTACCCATGTCGGGAATCGAACCTGGGTCTTCGTCGTGACGATCGAACGCTTTAACCACTAGGCTACCCGACCGCCTCTTCACAAGAAGTGGAACAGTACTGACATGAACATTTCGAAAAGTGGATGGGTTTGCCATAAGATCAGTTGTGAAAATATGACTGTGCTCATTTTCTCCCTGAACTTTCACTCTTCAGAAAGGCACTTGTGGTACTTGTAATGGGAGGCGCGTCGCTGGTAGGAAACCTTTTTAAAGTTCCAGGGCAATAGGTGATTCAGTTGATGCCTCCTTCTTTCTTGTTCTGGCGGTGAGGAAATCATGTAAGCATGCGTCCATTAACTGCTTTCGAATCATTGCCAAGAAGTCCAGGGCGATCTGAAAACTCCTCATTCTGAACAGCGAGTGCTTGTCCTCATCTCCTACCACCTCATCAGCTTCTATGGTGTACATTGAGAGTAAAGTCACATGTGATGACAATCTTTGTCTTATCGTTGTCACAACCTCTGTCAGGGGCGGCCGGGTAGCCTAGTGGTTAAAGCGTTCGCTCCTCACGGGTTCGATTCCCATCATGGGTACATTGTGTGAAGCCCATGTGTGGTGTCCCCAGCCGCGATATTGCTGGAATATTGCTAAAAGCGGCGTAAAACCCTACTCAGTCACTCACTCACTCACTCAATCAATCACTCAGTTGGAGTTGGAGGTGCTTAAGCAACAGTAGAGGAGAATCAGCCTGAGACGTCACAGCATAAACGAGCACTTAAACTGGATTCAGCATTAGGTTCAGAAAAACCTGCATGACTGAGACTCGTTCGAGATTGAGCCTATGCCAGGTCAATTTTGTGATGATAAGTTTGATATTTGCTCTGTTCGCCCTCTGCATTTCTTTTGAAGAATGTTATGGTTGGGAACTTGTCAGAGATCCTTCACACCAAAATATGCTGAACACATAACCTGTTGTTATGTGAATGAGATGCACGTGTAACCGCGCTGACCAAGTACTATTGGTTGAGTTTGTGAATTTTGTCTTTACCACCTACAAACTATTTATGTGTTTTCCAATTTTTTGTATTGGTTATTTTTTAAACTTCTAGGAATAGTCTTACTTTTATATATTTACCAGAATAACTTATCACCTGTAATTGTTATTGGGTTGATATCTTGAAAGGTATACCTCAGAAATGTTTTACTTGACGGCGATAGAAAAGCACCAAATTTCAATAAATAAAAGCGACACAATCAATGACCATAACCATGCGAAATCCCCCGAGTCCAATGAACGGTTCCGACTCCATATCAGCATGAAGTTATGTACCACTATAAAATAGTAATGATACCAGGTGTTCGCGAAAAGGTGATCGTATCCTGCCCCTCTGGTGGCAGCCGTCACAAAGACCGGATCCAGCTCCACTTAGCTATACGTATTCTCGATAGAATCTAGTGTTTTATATCTCTCATACGACAAATACCCAGGGCCCTTCGCCAGCACAGCTTCGTTTTACTTCCATGACATGTTTGTTTTTGCAAGGTGGAAACGGTTTGCCTCAGATCACAGAACACGTCACATGTACATTAACCATACAAAGAACACACTACCCATCACCCATGACTCAACCAGGAAATACACACAGATAGCAAACAAGAAATACAAAGTCCATTTTTATTTTGTAATATTTGGATTTCGACGTGTTTATGAAACAACGTGAAGGTCAAAGTAAACATAAAGTATGATTGCACGACAATTGGTTTTAAAGACTTAGTGGTCCTCAGTGTAAAATCTCCATGCAACAACAATTGCAGACATTCAATTTGCGAGCAAAATATTCCTGACCCAATAAGCAGTGGCGGCAATTATTAGAAGCATAGTCGGGTTAATACTACTTTTATTACGGCCTAGTTTTTAAGTGAAATGTGTCAACAAACTCGGCGGAAATAAAAAAAAGTATATATACTCTTAAAAATCAACAATCCTGAAACGGAATTTCTTGGCCATAAAAGCAAAATTAGCGTACCCAGATGTGCAAAATGAAGACGAGGTTTAATGTGTAATAGAATCGGTCTCTCATCATGGCAGGAAAGGTTTGGTCCATATCCAGAGCAATCTTACGGCTCAACGATACATCAACGATATTCTCCTATCACACGTCCTCCCAACTGCAGCCAACGGCAGCGGTGTATTCCAGCAGGACAACGCCCGACCGCATATATCACGGATATGTGGATATATCTTGCTACACTGTATACTGCATGTGATACTTATTTGCAGAAAACTTTCAAGATTCAAGATTCTAGATGCATTTATTTCTTTTACAACAGACCGCCGTCATATCACTGGAATATTCCTAAGAACGGCGTTAAACAACACACATAATTTCTTTTCAACATGGAGCGCTGCAGTCATTTAAAATAGAACCATATACATTTGTAGTGCCAACTCACCCACTTTGTTTCTAATATTCAGCACAAAATATATATTTACCAGCTGTGAGGTTAGATATCAGACTTTACAAGCAGTTGAATAAGGATGACAAAGGACTCCTCACTGATTAGGTTCTTGTTTACTTTAGAGCATAGTTGTCCATGTTAGATGATGTAACCATCCCCCAGATGCTATAACGGACGGGAGCTCCGGCGGGGCCAAACTGGACTTGTTATTGTGTGGTATGAGCTGTGACATAGACTTCCCCCAGACCCAGGAGAACAGGAGTCCAACTCAAGTCTAGAATGTTTGGGAAAGTCTAGATTGCCTCAGCACTCGCATGAAATAAAGAATTGTTATGTGCTTCTTGTATATTTTATTATTTTTTTTATTGTAGACATAGATAGACCAACCAGGAAAGAAGTGATTGATCCACAGATCTAGTTAAATTCATCACACAATAAAATATTAGTATTTGATATTACGAAGTGCATGATCATGTACATGGTATGTATAGTACAGTGCGGCATCAACGATAACTATATGATATCCTCACTTGCCATCGATGCACTGACGTCAATGGACGACACTCAAAATTCTTATTCGAGGTATTAATAGCTTCATCAGTGGCAGTGCAGATGTCAGTAAACAAATGAAATTTTCGTAGTTAAAAATATATCTACAACACAAACAGTAAAAGAGCCCAGAATAATTCTTACTTGCAGGGCTAGAAGGGAGACAATCTAGACTTGCCAAACTGTTCTTGACTTTAGTTGGATTCCTTATAAATTACCATGTAAACATCTACCTGGAGGTATACAATTATGCTACTGAAGCGCATATCTGATAAATGGGACTAATCGACTAATATTGCCAGTTACAGGCATTCTAATCTTTATTTTTTACTACTTATAATTTTGAAGTTGGGAATAATGGCAAATTAATGTCTAATGCAGTGAAAACATTTTGAATTAATTATAATTTCTGCAGTAAAAGCATAACATCAGATTGTGATATGATCCATGTTGTGATGAGCGAATTATTACTTATTGTTCCTTTTTATGAATTAAATAAACTAGAATAAGAAAAGATAGTGCAAACAAATCATTTTTAATCTGTATGTGACTAGGTAACCACAGATCGAGGCAACTCACTAACGTAAGCTGACACGCCGCGATATAACTGGAATACTGTTAAAAGCGGCTTTAAACCCAACTCACTCACTCACTCACTAAAATGTCTATTAACAGTACAATCATAATATTCATATGTTCTTTTCTGCATTAAGTGTTTTGATTATATGTTTTCATATAATTTGCATATTTTTCCATAAGGCCACAAATGTAACCTTCACTAAATACAGGGGTAGAAGACGCTGGCATTCCAATAGTCACATATGTGTAGAACATGCAACTTCTAGCTCAAATATTCAAACTGACATAAACATGTTTTTGTTAACCCCCAGTCGGCAAGACAGTTCTGAATGAGAAGCACTCGTTGGTGCCTTCTCTGATATTTTACAATCCCTCAAGCCCTCAAGCCTTGCAAGAATAAATCAATCATCAGAAATGGCATTCAGATAGTAATGAAAGTTCAAGATATGATACTTTTCGCCAATTCAAGTCATTGCTTGAACCAGAATCCTATTTATCTATTACGGTACAGGAATTCTCGTAACACCCTTATTCGTTTTAGACTTGGCCTGAATGATCTAAAAATTAACACAGGGAGATTTTCATCTATTGAGAAATCGATACGATTATGCCCATTTTGTGACTTTGTTGTCGAAGATGAATACCATTTCATGTTTATTTGCCCTATATACGCAAATCTAAGAAACAAGTACTTACCGCAGTGGTCTCTATCTCATTTTAATGCTAAACGTTTGTTTTCATTACTGTCTTGCAAGGATCTTATAACACAACATCAACTGGCTTTGTACATACATAATGCTTTTTTGTTACGAAGTGAATTGCTACCTTGACTTTGTATTTTATAAACAAAGTTATGTAACTCCGTTGTATATGGGCCTGTGGCCTTTCATACAATAAAGAATTGAATGGAATTGAATAAATCAAATGTACCAAAAAGTATGATATTAAATGTTAAGGAGCAAAACGTCACATGGAGGGAAAATATCATGAGTTCAATAAGAAAACAATATATCGATTTATAACAGTGGTCTTTTTGCAAAACGAAAAGAAAAGAAAAGTTATTCAGAAAAAAACATCATGTATATAAACAACTTAGCTGGAACAACTGGAAACCCTATGAAAACAGGAACCAATTCTGAATAATGTTAAAATGTATTTATCCTGATTCTGAGAAGCTAACAAACCACTTCAGGAATTTTTACAACACTAAAACAAAGACATATGCATATATGAGACAGACTTAAAAATAAAACAAAAATATAACTAATGACATCAGCACTTTATAAAACAAGTCCAGGCGTCGAAAATATAAAGAATTAACTTTTAAAATGAATATATTGTACATTGATAGTCCAGTTGGTTAAACTGTTTAATGTCTTAAATAGTTGTCACTTCCCACAGAGTTTAGTCTTGCATCATGACTGTGGAATATATTTATTATTTTAAAAAAAACCCCAGGCAATCTAGATATGGATACAAAAGCAAGTCTAGCCAGCTCCAGCTACCTCTATTCCAATGAATTCTTACATGAGATGGGCGATAAGACTACTTAGGAATTACATTTGAAGCAAAAGTTAAACTTAAATATAGTTCTAAACCTCTCCTGAAAAGGGCTCAAAGGCCTACTACAAACTTCAGTCTCCATTCTTAACCAGTCGTAAATTATAAAAAAAAAACATTATTCGAGCCGGTAATCCTATATACTAGTGAAATCTGGGGTATAGAATCAATCCTCCGGAACAACTCTGATTCATTCATTCATTCATCCTCGAGAAACTGCAGCTAAGATGCTGTAAATCCATGACTGAAGGTTTTGCAAAGCATGTATACCGTCAACTTGGCGTCCACAGATATTGTGAAAATATTTTAATGTTTTTAATTAAAGTGCTCAAGTGTTTAATGGACTTCGCGAGGTAAGGCCCGTACACCCATACACGTGCAATAACTGCAGTCGTGTTGAATTGGTAACACTGCACATAAACTGACATGCATGGTATGCTCCCTGTCGGTATGTTGCTGATAGTTCTCAAGGTTCCTTTTCAATGTTTCGTAGTGCATCCCGCATCTCAAGTACAATACACCTCTTGTGCCTTTAGATTGCCGATTGTATACATGAAAACACCATCGAGGCGTTGGCAGAAATCTCGAAAACCCCCCTACCCCACAGGGACTGTGCTCTCCATGTTCAACCAACGGGCTGTGTGGGTCAAGCAATGGGGAAAACCTTGTTTGTATATAGTAGTAACCTGATACATTCTGTAACTAGTTCCATACTGAGAGGATTTTCCGGAGGATTGGAGGTGTCGTACAAATTACTGAATAACTTTTACTGTTTCTGTGAGATCCTTAAAGATAAGCATTTTTCTTGCATTTGGCCTGGGATTATATTCAAAGTTTAACGGTCTGGACATGTGGTTTGTGTGACAAGACAAGAAATCAACGCAAGTGATTAAAATATTAATATTATTATTTTGTAAATAAAACTAAATTTTTGTTTGATTGTTTGCATAAAGCATCATTCCAGCTATATGACGGTGGTTTGTAAATAAGACAGTCCAGTTATTGACATCAAGAGCATCGATCCACGCAATTGGGATACGATGACGTGCCTCAACCAAATCAGTGAGCCTGACCACCCGATCCCGTTAGTCGCCTCTCACACGCATTGGGTGCTGAATGCCTGTTCTAACCCGGATCTCCATGGGTACATTTAGAAAATAATGAACAATGAAATTCTGTATATGTTCAGAATACTTATGTATAAGAAGATGGATAATATATCGGTACACGCCAATTAAATGGGTTCGACTACATATGGTTCAATGATAAGCTCTTTTACAAGTCAATGTTTTAATACATGTACTTGTTATTCATAAGAACTCCACAAAAGCTACACAACGGCGACAAGAATTGTACCAGCATCACAGAAAACAATAATACACTTTTGAATGCAGATACATATAATTACATAAAAGTTAAAACATATATCTGAATAGTAAATTCGCAGGTTTAAAAATATACACTTCCGACATTTTTCCTATTTGTTTTCGTTGGTAGAGAGAAGTAGTGACAGTAGTGACTGGTATCTGGTGGGTGCAAACAGGTGTCGAGTTGCTGTCTCAGATGGCTCAGATTACATGACTCTAAAGATCACGGCGATACAGACTCAGTCCCAAACTATATCATTTTCCCTTCCGCGCAGTCCTTACTGTAATGCTTTAATCCCAAATGAAACAAGCCTTGATGTTCAACAGGATCAGGCTTAAATTTCCCCTCATTGGGGCTCCTTTTATCAAAATAATATATACTCAGAGACTAAGCTTTAGTCTCACCGTGAAGAACAACTACCCAAAATATCCCATGCAAGTCTAGATATCTTCAGATTTCTTCAGACAGACTCTCCATGTTGCTATCGATATATATCAAAAGACAATTCCGATTTTTTTAAAATATAGCGATTTTAAGTGCGCGTCAGAGGTTTGACGAAATCAGAGGATATTCAATTTTAGAATGGCTACCTTTTGTTTGATTCAGGAAAATTTCAAAAGCTGATGACCTAACTAACTTCTCCTAAAGATGACAATAAACTGGTTGTCCAACGTTAGTCCCGAATAGCTAAAAGGTGATTCAGTCGAAACTCACTCGACACACACGTGTCAGAACGAATGATTAACGCAACGTTTCATATTGGGTGATGATGTTTATCTGTTTCCATCTACCTGTCACCTGCACAACTCGCTGTACACACAGCCATTCGGATCACGAGGAGTAATCGCAAATAAAAGGTTCGCACGCAGTAGACCGAATACCACACGCATCACTGACACTACATCTCACGAGATGAGGGGTGGGGTGTATGTAAAATCATACCCTCTGAAAAGAAATACTAAAAAATAACTTCTGCTATAAGTTTGTGCCACATTCCCCGGGCTCACCCCCGACGCAAGGGAAGTATGTCAGAACATAACCTTGCTGGTTACAGTGGCAGTAATCTTAGCGTCATACGACTCGTGCGCACGTGCTTCATCATGGTGGCAACATTCAAGGCTTAAGTAAACTCTCGAATGGTTTCATGATAAACATTTTTCCGCCACAGTTTAGTTTTCTCACTTGTTCCCCGGTTTTGTTCAGGTGGATAACTGACTTGCCTTTGGGTGTGTTTGTGACGGGTGCCATGGTGGACAGGATACGCTCACCTTTTCGCGGACACGTGATGTTATCACTATTTGATAGTGATTCATAGCACATGCTTTCAGCAGAAACTGTCAATGATTATGGAAAGGATTGTGTAGCTTTTATTTATATACTCTGGAAACCCTGGGCTGACGTTCTATCCAATAGACCACTAGGCAGGCTTTCTAACATTTGGATGGTAAAGCACCAAAGTGATTTAGAGGATGACATTATTGATGGTTTTAGGAATGTACTATTACTAAACGCAATAAGGTATTGTAATGATGCACGCAAAAAAAAGAGAAGTATCTCTGGTATTAATGATTCTCCCTCTCCCATAGGGCGGTGGGGTTGCCCAGTGGTTAAAGCGTTGGTTTGTCACGTGGAGGACCCGGCAAAATGGGTACAATATGTGAAGCGGGGCGGTCGGGTAGCCTAGTGGTAAAAGCGTTCGCTCGTCACACCGAAGACCCGGGCTCGATTCCCCACATGTGTGAAGCCGATTTCTGGTCTCCCCCCCCCCCCCCCCCCCCCGTGATATTGCTGGAATATATATTGCGGCGAAAATAAAACTCACTTACTCATTTACTCACAATATGTGAAGCAAATGTCTGGTGTCACCCGCCGGGATATTGCTGGCCTATAGTGTAAAACCCAACTCATTCACTCCCTCACTCACTCCCTCACTCACTCCCTCACTCACTCCCTCACTCACTCACTCACTCACTCACTCACTCACCAATAAAACCAATGAAAAGTTTAAACGTTTTAGTCTTCTAAGTTTTATGTTGAAAATGTAAGTCTTCCCAATAGATACACAAAGTTGTCTCCCTTTGAAAACCCCAGCTGTTACACTGGACCCATTCCATCCCAGTTGCAGGTTTCATTAAATAAAAAGGTATTTGGCAATGAAGCAAAATGCAGTTTTATGACACAATGGCCCGACTGCTAATTTTAGTATTTAATGACAGAAACACCTGTTGTGAAGTATTATATATTTCGGTGAAACTTGTCACGTTATTAAAATCAAATAATGTTGTTTCTGTGTTTAATGAAATCTGAATGCGTCACGTGGTACGAGAGAGTAGAGACAATATATATCTCGGTGAAACTGGACACGTTATTAAAATCAAATAAATACGTTTCTGTGTTTAATGAAATCTGAATGAGTCACGTGGCATGAGAGCGTGGAGACAATGGCAGCAGCCCGGGTATAAAGGGAGGTAACTGTGTAGACAGCGACTCACTGCAGTTGACCCGAATACCTTGAAGATGGAGAACATGGTGGGAGACTGGACACTGGTGCCCGAGCTGACCACTGGTCATGATGAGTTTGCTGAAGCTATAGGTAGGTTTCCTGAACTGCTATTATAAACACGAGCGTGCAGGCACATATTGATTCAATATATTATAGTGATTCATGATATGCGATTGAAAAACATGCATTTCAAATCGGTCACTGGTAAACACATGCATTTGTATAAATTAGTCGCTAATTTCGTGGTTTCCTATCAGTTTAAGATTTTGCTTTCCGACTGGCCCTTTGATGGTATCAACTCTGGGGTTTACACAATAGATGACTCGCACCTCAAATATCTGTTCGAAAGCCCATCTCTGTCAGACCTGACCGTTTGCACAATTTCAAATGATAATTTTTGTGTGATATTGTGAGAATATGACTCGAGTGTGTTACGGTATCGTAAATATGATAAGTTAGGAATATAACTTGTATAACGCGAGCCTTTGTATTCTTAATATATCATATTTACTGCACGGAAACACACGAGGGTAACCATTTAATGTTAACCACAAAGACCGGATGAGAGTAGGTCTTCAGCAACCCATACTTGCCGTAAAAGACGACTATGCTTGACGTAAGAGGCGACTAACGGGGTCGGTGGCTTTGTTGATGCATGTCGTCGTATCCCAGTAGCGGAGGTCGATGCTCATGATGTCAATCACTGGACTGTCTGGTCCAAACTCGATTATTTACAGACCGCCGCCATGTAGCTGGAGTATAGCAGGGTGTGGCGCTAAACAAGAAACTAACAAAACAATTTAATGTCATACCAAATATACGCGACGTTCAAGACGTAGCTTCACTCAAAACAGTAACTTTAGTAACCCCGTTTGAATCCGATGTTTAAGTTAACTGCACCATTAATCACATAGTGCCAAATTATTTGCAGGCATTTTGTCTACAGATTCCAACACACTGGGAACCCTCTATCTGAACGTATTGGGAACGTTAGCCCATTTATTGTATCCATATATGAGGCATTTAAGTATTTAGATAACCACATGTGCATATTTATCGGATCATGATGCCACGATTATCGGAATGGTGTATTATATCGAAAACGTACCCATTATATGATAAATGCTGCGAATGTGAAGGAAAGAAAACCAAACCTACAACGCATGTAAGAGTGTTTTGCAAAACATCATTAGAGCTTAACCCTTGGCCTTACCCTAAAAATGCTGGGACAATATAATTCATTCCTGAAACTAATTGTCATCAGGTTTCACAAAAACAATTAAACACACATTGTTGGACATAATGGTTTTGCTTGCAACAAATGTGTTTTGAAATCACTCGAAACTGTTCGGCTCCATTCACAGAACGAAATTTCAAGACACAATCACACACGTACAGACACAGAGACACACACACGAACACACACTTACACACACACACGCGCGGGCAGACACATAGGCAAACGCTCACTCACACACACACACACACACACACACACACACAGACACACTCGCAGACACATACACAAAGACACACAGAAACAAGCACAGACAGAGGCACACATTCACTCACTCACTCACTCTCTCTCACACACACACACACACACATACACACAGACATATACACACACACACACACAGACATACACACAGACATATACATACACACACAGACACAGACAGACACACAGACATACACACTCACCCAGGCACAGAAACAGACACACACCCAGACACACACACACAAACACACAGACACACACAAAGACAAAGACACACTAAAATCACACACACACACAACAGGAATATTAACTCAGAGGCGAATCCAGAATTTCGAGAGAAAAATATACACATACATGTTCAACCTATCATGTATCAAAATCAATGACATGTTACATGAACATCATATTCGTTAAGTATCACTATGTGAGCAACACAACGACAGGTATTAATGGTTCTATAATGTTCACCACCACCGGCAAGAGCCATGTGTTTGTGGTGTATCAAGCGAGACGTTTTGATTAACTGATTGTCTCCCCTACCTCCATGCCAGGTATGAGTGACGAAGAAAGGGAGATGACTCGCAACTTTAGCTACACCTTCCATCTGTCACGTGACGGAGACGAGTGGCGCATGAAGATTGACATTGCCAAGATGGGCACATTACTGGACACCAAGTTCAAAACGGGCGTGCCCTTTACCTACATGTCTCCGGATCAGGTTACCAAGCTGACGGTAGGTCACATCTTTGTTATATAAGTACATAAAGGGAGCAGGTCAAATTTTTACATCTTGGGTACGAATGCCACATGCCAATATATGTTTTTTCAGATGAACAATTGATTTGCCCTTGCATGTGTTTGGGACGGGTGGCACCAGTGGGGCAGGATACACCCGACGTTTGGCGAACACCTGGGATCATCAGAATTTGATAGTGATTCATGAACACATATTCTCTGTATCCTACAATGGACTCTTCTTTTAGCAGCGATTTGTTGTTATTATGTCGCATTTGTTTCATTTTCGATCACAAATATAACTTTTTTGACCTGTTGTACATTTGAAGTACGAATGACACATGCCCCCCACACACCAATAAAGGTCAGCGTCAAAATGTCGCCATCTCCAATGGGATTATTGCTTGGCAATGATTCATGAACCTGCTGAATGAATGAGTTTGGTTTGACGCCGCTTTTATAAATATTTCAACAATATCATGACGTGGTTAACCAGAAATGAGCTTCACACATTGCACCCATGTCGGGAATCGAATCCCGCCCTTCGGCGTGACGAGCAAACGCTTAAACCACTCGGCTACTCCACCGCTCCTAAAACTATTCTTTTAGTGGAGATTTGTCATTATTATGTCGCTTTTTTTCATTTTCTTAAGACAAATATAACTTTTTAGAGCTGTTATTTACTGGAACTGAAAATCCCCTGACCAGTTGTCTGTGTAAACACTAGAACCTTATACGTTCTCCACCTCCACCCTAAATATTGAATGGTATGTCCCTAACGAGATGATACCAAAGCGAGTGAGTGAGTATGTTTTTTTACGCCGTTTCGGCAATATCAAGGTAGGGTTGCATGAGAAATATGTTTCACACAATGTACCTATGTGGGGAATCGAACCCAGGTCTTTGGCGTGACGAGCGAACGCTTTAACCACCAGGTTACTCCGTCGCCCCTATACGAAATATAAACATTGAGAACATGACGTCTGAGAAGGGCGGCCTGATCCGCCAATGGGATGTCGACACGTATCCAGAAGGGGACTTTCTCGTTGTGGTAAGTCAGCTGTTTCCACTTCCCTGTGGTTTGAATTTCTTTCTTCAAACAAAATTTGAGGGCACAGAGTAAGACATCACAATTCACTGCGCAATAGTCGCGTCCCTTGGGCACGCCACAAAGTATATTTGGATTCGAATCCCGGTTCTCTCAGATTATTTTCTAGATTGGTCCTCACTCACTCACTCACTCACTCACTCACATAATATTAGAGACAATATTGCCTTACCCTGGCAAACTTTCAAAGGTTAGTTAATGAGTAAGATAATACGGGCGTGCTTTTCCTCAGGGGAGTCTTGCCTAGGATGGAATTATTGAGTAATATCTTGGTTGGTCTAACGAGTCTGCATGGTCCAATCAAAATCGACTCGATTGCAGGATTTCCAGGGCACGCGTACCGTCAACTGGGAAGGTACTTTCCAAATCCTTTTTTGCTTTCAATCAAGGTGCTCAAGTGATTTGATGCACTTCGCGAGGTAAGGTCATTTTATTATAAGGATCGTGATTTTTTATCAGAACGTCTTGACTAGACGTTGCAATTTTGAGAGGTGGAATCTGATTGGTGAATATGAGAGACAGAGAAGGGACATAACCCGTAATCGCCACTTGTGGCGCTGCGGTCGAGGAACGCAATTCCTGCCCAGTTCGGCAAGGGTTGAAACGGGACTTTTACAGTCAATTAACTCCCTTGCCTTGGAAAGATCCAGAGCACCGTTCCACAAAGCGATCTTAGCGCTACGACTATCCTAAGCCAGTGTTGAAGTATGGGAGTTACGATCACCTTAGCGCTAAGATGGCTTTGTGGAACGGGGCCCTGGCTTGTAAGTTTGACAGAGAATATTGCTCTGTATCAGCAGGTTTCAATGGTTAGTTGGTGCGTTACATTATAGTGCTTCACATCGATCAGGTATTCAAGGAAGGGGAAATTATGGTCTGCCTTCGCTGGTGATTTCGGAAAATCGCTAGAGCCTATGTGTTTATCACATGAAGAAACCATGACCTATGCTTGCAATACATACATGGTTTGTCATTTTGTCATTACCATGCCGTTCAACGATGCTCACACTATCGACCACCTGTTTATGCTGGTTGTAGCCTGGGAACATGTAACAACGCTGCGTTGTTACATTGAATGGAGTTGAGTCTATGAATGCACTTACCGGTTGCACTATTTGTTTGTTTTCAGGTTCAGACCAAGGACGGCAAGTCCAAGACACAAAAGCTGAGACACCAATGATGTAATCCACAGACGCCTATGTCCCTAATCAACGTCTTGAGCAACGACGACGCAACGACGACACAACGCTGACTCAACGACGGTTCAACACCCAGAATTATCCTTGTGTTGACAATACTGTCACCAGTAATCACATATTGTGTGATGTCTTCACCAATAATCACATATCTGATGATAATTACTGAGTCTAGGTTGATTGATAACTATGGTCTGTCCACATTCAAGATCCGATAGCAAATAAGTAATGGTTGACTTATGGAACAAGCGTTGTGGTGTTGTAGCGAGTTAATGAGGCGTGTTGGGAGTGCCATTGTGTCTGTAAACGCTTCAATCTAAATTTACAAAAGCCTATGCTATTTTGAAAGTCCTGATTGGAAAAACCACGAACGACATTTTTGATCGTCAGAATAGATCAACTAAATATAGCATCTTCGGCTCGGCTCTGAAAATTAGGATCCGGAACCTAACCAAACATGCAAACATATGTTTAATTGTAACAAATTATATATTTGGGAAACAAATAAAGTATACCACAAATTCTTGTACCTTTTGGGGTTGAGTCCCGTTCGGGATTCCAAACCACACTACCAAAGTGAGGCACCTAATCACCAGCACACAAAGTCAGCGATCTTACCCACTCAGTCACCGAGACTTCAGCAGAAATGAAAGGCCGGCAACTGGTAGTCTAGATCACGTACTTTGTGTACCCCTCTGACAAGCGTAAATTGGCACGGCTCTCATGGCAGAAAGCTATAAACACACAATGCCATTTAGAAAGTGAACAAATGTAACATATGTTAGATTTGGGAAAACACTTTCTTAGTAAAGTACAGATTCTCTTACTTTGTGTGCTGGCGATGAGGTTCCTCACTCTGGCAGTGTGGGTTCAAATCCCGGACGGGACTCACCCCCTAAAAGTACGAGAATCTGTTAGTGTTATCCCAAATATAACATTTGTTACATAATGTGTATAGTTCAATCCGTATCAGTGTCTTAAGTGACTGCATCACGTGGTTGCTATGAGACACGTGTGGCCGTGACAATGGTAGGTGCCATTGGTCGCTGCGGGCATTTCTAAAATAATTGACGACATTACTTCCGGTTTGTATTTAGCTGCTTAGCTGAGATTGTTTGAGTTGAAATAAAATCTTCATTTCTCACTTAAACTCAGAGTTATATGTCAGCCATGAACAGTCCCCGCCACTTAAAATATCGTGATGGTTCATTAACGAAGACAGCAGCATGCGTGCTAATACTTATAAAGTGACAACAAGGCATTCCGCCGACAAGGAACTTTCAGGAATGACAAAGTATTGCAAAGTGCGCTTTCCTAGAAATAACCATTTTGCTAGCGATAAACATCATCATCGAGTTTTGATCACGTGTGAGCTCACGTGCAGCTGTCTTCATTATTTAATCATTATGAACTTTCGTGATTTGTTTTATAGTGGTGAGGAATATAGTTTAAACATGAATTACAGTGTGTGGTACCGCAGCACTATCTTATGACAGTGGAATTTAAATGGTAAGGGGAGTGGAATTCCCCATTTTTGAAATACACATGTCCCCGATGCCGTGAAAATAAAAGAATATCTTGGCAGAGAGAATAGAGACGGATTTCTCTGTATCCCCGCCATTCCTTGTATGACTGATTGATGTGACCCTCATAATCGGCAGACAGGTGGTTGAAAGCAACGATGCCCCCCGTCGGGATACGATGACACACAATCAGCCAGGTCATACATTGTGACCATCCAATCCTCATTTGTCTTGCTAGTCTTAATTCCCAAACTGAAACAATATGTTAAACCAGAAACCTATACATAAAAGAATTTAGCGTGAAACAAACAAACAACCAACAAGTGACGTACATTCAACAAATGTGTTACAAAATTAACTAGGTTTGCAAATCAATACAAATTACTGCACAGCTATGACAATGACGGTAGACAATAGAGTGCTTGTACGATTTTCAATGACAGTATATAACCTGATGGCAGTGGTCAGTATCAAATACAAAAATACAGTGTTGATAACAAAAGTCAGTGATAATAATATTTATCATATAATGGGTAGGTTTCTCGGCAGGATAAAGCCAACGGATAAAAACGATATCCGTTGGGGTCATATGCGGATAAAGATGCAAATATCAAAGGTCAAGTAGGGACTACTTTTACTGTTTATAAACAAACATGGCGTCGCCCTTGTCATTCGGCGATCGAGTCAGAATTAACCATCGGGAATATGGATAAACTACAGGGATAATTGCTATCATTATCAAAAGAACAGTCATATAAACTGAAAATCAGTGTCTAACTGTGACGTAGCTAAGGCATTTTATAAGTTTTGGCAACTTTGGCGATATAAATTTCGAAACAATTTTGCGAGGGCACGAGGCCTAGCCAAGCGGGATCAGTAACCATATCTGCAGCTTTAAACCTTCTCCACAAATTAAAATAGTTGGATTTGGCCGAAATATGTTTGAATTGTTACCTTGTTTCGTTTTGTTGCTGTGTGTACATCTGACTACACTTCTTAACGTTATGACAGGACCGACCGACTGTCAACAACGTCTGACCGTGGCCGTGACGTCTCATTTACTAGGGTTAGAGTAGCTTCCCTTTGACAAAGGGCAGTTACTCTAGCGGACAGACCGATGGATTGCCGCGAAAGGCAATTAAAAACAATTGTTGTTTTGCGTATATGTTGCTTCGCCACTGTATAAGAAACAGATTTCAGTTGGAACTATATTGATTTCTGTCACTGTTCGACTGACACATCACTTACCCTGTGACGTAATAAATATTAATGCGCGCATTCCAGGAAAACTCGCAATGTTTCGGTAATGTTTGTGAGAGAGGGAAAGCGATTTTGAAGCACAGAATTAAAGAATGACATTATATGATAAAGAGGTTATCACGCTTGTGTGTTTGGGGATTGTAAATATCCTGTATTAGGAATAAACACTATGTATTTAGCTCGCCAAGGCTCGCTAAATACAATGTTTATTCCTAATGCAGGATATTTACCATCCCCAAACACACTCGCGTGATAACCTCTATTTATCATATAATGGGTAGGTTTCTCGGCAGGATAAAGCCAACGGATAAAAACGATATCCGTTGGGGTCATATACGGATAGAGATGCAAATATCAAATGTCAAGTAGGGACTATTTTCACTGTTTATAAACAAACATGGCGTCGCCTTTCGGCGATCGAGTCAGAGTCAGGAATAAACACTATGTATTTAGCTCGCCAAGGCTCGCTAAATACAATGTCTTCTTATATACAATCTGCCTTGTTACTGGAAAGTTCTACATAGTGCCCTCACCAGACAAACATGGGATACAAGAGATCTATTCTCTCCGGCTCCACACAGGGAGAAAAGCATGGGGTACTAGGGACCTATTCTCCCCGACTCCCAAGAGGGAGAAAAGCATGGTGTACTGGGGACCTATTCTCCCCGACGCCCAAGAGGGAGACAAGCATGGGGTACTGGGGACCTATTCTCCCCGACCCCCAAGAGGGAGACAAGCATGGGGTACTGGGGACCTATTCTCCCCGACTCCCAAGAGGGAGAAAAGCATGGTGTACTGGGGACCTATTCTCCCCGACCCCCAAGAGAGAGAAAAGCATCGGGTACTGGGGACCTATTCTCCCCGACCCCCAAGAGAGAGAAAAGCATGGGGTACTGGGGACCTATTCTCCCCGACTCCCAAGAGAGAGAAAAGCATGGTGTACTGGGGACCTATTCTCCCCGACCCCCAAGAGGGAGACAAGCATGGGGTACTGGGGACCTATTCTCCCCGACTCCCAAGAGGGAGACAAGCATGGCGTACTGGGGACCTATTCTCCCCGACTCCCAAGTGGGAGAAAAGCATGGTGTACTAGGGACCTATTCTCCCCGGCCCTCGACAGGGAGACAAGCATTGGGTACTGGGGACCTATTCTCCCCGACTCCCAAGAGGGAGAAAAGCATGGTGTACTGGGGACCTATTCTCCCCGACTCCCAAGAGAGAGAAAAGCATGGGGTACTGGGGACCTATTCTCCCCGACCCCCAAGAGGGAGACAAGCATTGGGTACTGGGGACCTATTCTCCCCGACTCCAAAGAGGGAGACAAGCATGGCGTACTGGTGACCTATTCTCCCCGACTCCCAAGTGGGAGAAAAGCATGGTGTACTAGGGACCTATTCTCCCCGGCTCTCGACAGGGAGACAAGCATTGGGTACTGGGGACCTATTCTCCCCGACTCCCAAGTGGGAGAAAAGCATGGTGTACTGGGGACCTATTCTCCCCGACTCCCAAGAGGGAGAAAAGCATGGGGTACAGGGGACCTATTCTCCCCGACTCCCAAGTGGGAGAAAAGCATCGGGTACTGGGGACCTATTCTCCCCGACTCCCAAGAGGGAGAAAAGCATGGGGTACTGGGGACCTATTCTCCCCGACTCCCAAGAGGGAGACAAGCATGGGGTACTGGGGACCTATTTCTCCCCGACTCCCAAGAGGGAGAAAAGCATGGGGTACTGGGGACCTATTCTTCCCGGTTCTTCACAGGGAGACAAACATCGGGTACTGTGGACTATTCTCCCCGGCCCCCTACAGGGAGACAAGCATTGAGTACTTGGGACCTATTCTCGCCGACTCTCAAGAGGGAGACAGGCATGGGGTACTGGGGACATATTCTTCCCGGTTCTTCACAGGGAGACAAGGAGACAAGCATTGGGTACTGGGGACCTAATTTTCCCCGGCTCCCGACAGGGAGCCAAGCACGGAATACTAGGGACTTATTCTCCCCGCCGCCACACAGGGAGGCAAGCATTGGGTACTACGGACCAATTCTCCCCGGTACCCCACAGGGAGACAATCACGGAATACCAGAGACCTATTCTCCCCAACTCCCGACAGGGAGACAAGCATTGGGTACTACGGACCAATTCTCCCCGGCACCCACAGGGAGACAATCACGGAATACCAGACACCTATTCTCCCCAACTCCCGACAGGGAGACAAGCATTGGGTACTGGAGACATATTCTTCCCGCCTCCACACAGGGAGACAAGGATGGAAGTTTACGAGTTATTCACGTATTCATTTATATATAGTAACACACAATTGAGGCAGTTACATTGAAAACAATAATTAGGTACAATATTAGGTATCTGTACGTACATGTAGTAATAGAGATATCGTCAATACTTAGCTATATTTCTGAGTATACAGTCAATTTTTGCAATTAAAGATATGGTATAGGTATTAACACATGGAATGTTATAAAATCTGACTGGAATATACTTTTGTCTTAATGATGCGAACAACGGCCAGGTAAACACAAGGATTTCGTCCTAAATAGAACAATTGTTACATAGCCGACACAAGCGTTGTGAATAAACAATATCCTATCCTCTGCCTCCATTATTCATTCATCCAGCTTCTTCATTAACAAATAACACTCTCGGGGATATCTAATATCATTCATTCTAGTTTACACCAGTATTTAAAAAAACCCAACTTCATGTGATAATACGCATGCAAAACATATCTTCCACATTCAGCCAATATTGCAGTGCTAAATACATATTTACCAACTCGTATAACAAATTTACAAAAATTAGTATTAAACGTTTCGACACTTTGACTACCTTTGCAACCCCAGATCTCGGCACCATAAAGAAGAACGAGCTTTATCTTAATATCAAACAATTGAAATACTATGTTGACTGGCATATTTATATAGTGAAACTGGATGTTTTTAATGGCAAACAAAGCCTTATTGGCTTCAATCTTGAGGGTACCAATGCATTTAGTCCAAGACAATCTATTTGAAAACAGAACATCCACATAACATAGTAAGTACTAATATTAATACTTTTATCATTCAAAAAACATCGTTCATGCCACATCCGTTGAACACCACGATTTTGGTTTTGGAAATATTAATTTCAGGTCCACACATTTCACAAAAATTGAATAAAATACCAATTTGTCCAATATTTATTATAGTGTCATCGAATATACACAAGTCATCTGCATAAAGTAAAAGTAATATGTCCGTGAATTCCTCTCCAATGACAATTCCTCCTAAATCCCTACTTTCTATCATAGAATGTTATTCAAGGACACACTTGTAAAGAGAGGACTCAACATACAGCCCTGTCGAACGCCGGTCAGTCACTCGAAATATTCTAAAAGAGTGATTTAGATCCTTCAAAACCACCAATAAACGATTCCATTTTATTATTTAATACCACAAGAGATACCTATGTGCTAAACATTGTAAAGTAAATATTTTGTAAATCGAACTGCATCCACTTCGAAATCCGACCCGAGCTTCAGGAATTGTGTCATAAACCTCCGCAAAAGTCTCGAGTCGTTCATTTAATACTGTTGTCATCACCTTTCCAAATACATCCATCAGCGCATTCCTCTATAATAATTGACATCATTTATATTATCTTTCTTATGCAGAGGAACTATTATACCCTTTGCCCACTAGTAAGGGAATACACCGCTATGCATAATTCTATTCAAAACTATAGTTAAGTATGGTACGATTGAAGTACTGCAATATTTCACCATTTCAGTAAAGAATTCCATCCGGTCCTGTTTACCCAGTTTCAGGTTCTGTATATATAGCTGATGATACTTCTTCAGTTTCTGGGATTCGAACTTGTGATCATGCTTCTTCTGGCACGCTTAAGAAACGCAACTGTGCACAGCAAAATACAGTTTGGACAGGACCTCTCATGTCTCCCTATATCTTTGAAACACATTTAGTTTGTTGCCGGCTGACGTTATTTTTGATATACCTCAAGACATGCGGATTTTGTACTGTCAACATAAGGTTATCATCAAATGATATAATTCGTTGAGTTTAACAGTTCGAAACAATTGCCGTGACTATACTTTACCATGATGCTCTTCTTGAGCCATCAAGTAACCCTATCCTAAACGACATATCGAGTTGATAAAACCCATGATTGATCTAACTAAATTAGTGGGTAGTGTTTTACGCCTCTCCAAGGAATACCCCTGTATTATCACTGCGGGGACACCAGAAAAGGGATTCACACAATGTACCCATATAGGAAATATAACTCGGGCCTTCGCCTGACTAGCGAACGGTTTAATGACTCGGTTTTTCCGACACCCTTATTATAAAGTTGGTCCTCTGTACCCAAAGCTTGTCACAAGGAGCCGGTAAGAATTGGTCCCAAGTACCCAATGATTGTCTCCCTGTGAAGAGCCGGTGATAAATAGATCTCTAGTACCCCGTGCTTGTCTACCTGTGGGGAGCCGGGGAGAATATGTCCCCAGTACCCCATGGGGGGAGGGGAGAGGGGGGGAGGAGCGGGGTTGGGGGGTTGGGGGAGAGAACAGGTCCCCAGTTTTCCCTGCTTTTCTCCTTCTTTGGAGTCGGGGAGAATAGGTCCCCAGTACCCCATGTTTTTTCCCCTGTTGGTCCCTTGTATCCTAGGTTTGTCTGATGAGGGCACTATGTAGAACTTTCCAGTAACAAGGCAGATTGTACATAAGGAGACAAGATCGTGTTAACGTGTCTCTCACGCATATCATCGGAACCAACTTTCGTGTGAGGATCGCGCATCATGCCTGATTACCTGCCTAGTCCATGTCGGAAGCTCGACCGCTGTCGCCGCTGTGTGGATATATGTTATAATCACTGACTTTTGTTATCAACACTGTATTTTTGTATTTGATACTGACCACTGCCACTGTTATATACTGTCATTGAAAATCGTACTAGCACTCTATTGTCTACCGTCATTGTAATTGCTGTGCAGTAATTTGTATTGATTTACAAACCTAGTTAATTTGGTACATTTGTTCCATGCACGTCACTTGTTGGTTGTTTGTTTCACACTTAATTATCTTATGTGTAGGTTTCTGGTTTAACATATTGTTTCAGTTTGGGAATTAAGACTAACAAGACAAATGTATGACCTGGCTGATTGTGTGTCATCGTATCCCGACGGGGGGCATCGTTGCTTTCAACCACCTGTCTGCCGATTATGAGGGTCACATCAATCAGTCATACAAGGAATGGCGGGGATACGGAGAAATCCGTCTCTATTCTCTCTGCAAAGATATTCTTTTATTTTTCACGGCATCGGGGACATGTGTATTTCAAAAATGGGGAATTCAACTCCCCTTACCATTATAATTCCACTGTCATAAGATAGTGCTGCGGTATCACACACTGTAATTCATGTTTGAACTATATTCCTCACCACTTGAAAACAAATCACGAAAGTTCATAATGATTAAATAATTAAATCACTTTATAAATGTTAGCACGCATGCCGCTATCTTCGTTAATGAACCATCACGATTTCAAGTGGCGAGGATTATTCACGGCTGACATATAACTCTGAGTTTTATTGAGAAATGAAGATTTTATTTCAACTCAAACAATTACAGCTAAGCAAGGGAGTGACTTCTAAATACAAACCGGAAGTAATGTCGTCAATTATTTTTGAAAAGCACGCAGCGATCAATATCACCTATCATTGTCGCGGCCACACGTGTCTCATAGCAACCACGTGATGCAGTCACTTAAGGCACTGATACGGATTGAACTAAACACATTGTAGCTGCTAATAACACAAATTGTAAATTTCATGACAGCACAAAATGTAAATGGAATCGACATATTGAGTGAATATTTATCACTATACCTAGCCAAGAAGTCTTCCCAATAATTAAACATATGAACACAATGCCATTTTGAAGTGGTCACAAATGGTATATTTGGGATGACACTTTCTTAGTAAAGTACAGATTCTCGCACATTTTTAGGTGCCTCACTCTGGAAGTGTGTGTTCGAATCCCTGAACGGGACTCCACGCCAAAAGGTACGAGATTCTGTACTTTACTAAGAAGGTGTTATCCCAAATATAACATTTGTATGTTTGGTTAGGTTCCGGGTCCGCATTCTCGGAGCCGACCCGACGATACTATTTTTAAGTGGCCCATTCTGACGATCAAAATTGTCTTTCGATTTTGGTACAATTGTGAAGTTAGATTCAATCGTTTGAAAATCAATAAATCTAGTCGACATCCCTGCTAATAAGAAAGTGACGAAGCCGTTAACTGGCCTTTCGAGGATTTCTGTAAAATGTTAAGAAAGAATAAATATTCTAACTTACAGGGGTAGTATGCTCAGACACCATGGCAGTCCCAGCACACCTCATTCAAGTCGCTACAACACCACTACGCTTGTTCCGTAAGTCAGCCATTACTTATTTGCTGCTGGATCATGAATTTGGACAGACCATAGTTATCAGTCAAACCTAAACTCAGTAATTATCATCACAATATGTAATTTTTGGTGAAGAAATTACCCTCACAATATGTGATTACTGGTGACAGTATTGTCAACACAAAGATAATTCTTGGTGTTGAACCGAGTCAGCGTTGCGTTGTCGTTGTTGTCGTTGTCGTCGTTGTGTCGTCGTTACACAAGACGCTGATGAGGGACATAGGAGTCTGTGGATTACATCATTGGTGTCTCAGCTTTTGTGTCTTGGACTTGCCGTCCTTGGTCTGAACCTGAAAACAAACAAATAGTGCAACCGGTAAGTGCATTCATAGACTCAACACCATTCAAGTCCAAAACGCAGCGTTGTTACGTGTTCCCAGGCTACAACCAGCATAAACAGGTGGTCGATAGTGTGAGCATCGTTGAACGGCATGGTAATGACAAAATGACAAACCATGTATGTATTGCAAGCATAGGCCATGGTTTCTTCATGTGACAAACACATAGGCTCTAGCGATTTTCCGAAATCACCAGCGTAGGCAGACCATATTTTCTCCCTTCCTTGAATACCTGATCGACGTGAAGCACTATAATGAAACGCACCAACTAACCACTGAGACCTGCTGATACAGAGCAATATTCTCTGTCCAACTTACTGACCTGGATCTTTCCAAGGCATGGGAGTTAATTGACTGTAAAAGTCCAGTTTCCACCCTTGCCGAAATGGGCAGGAATTTCGTACCACAAGTGGCGACTACGAGTTATGTCCCTTCTCTGTCTCTCCTATTCACCAATCAGATTCCACCTCTCATATCAAGTGAGTGAGTGAGTGAGTGAGTGAGTGAGTGAGTGAGTGAGTGAGTGAGCACGTGTATGGTACTGACAAATGTAGAAAAATAATTTTGGAGAACCGGTATTCGAATCCAAATCGACTATTGCGCAGCGAATTGCGATGTCTTACTCTGTGCCCTCAAATCTTGTTTGAAGAAGGAAATTCAAATCACAGGGAAGTGAAATCAGCTGACTTACCACAACGAGAAAGTCCCCTTCTCGATACGTGTCGACATCCCATTGGCGGATCATGCCGCCCTTCTCTGACGTCATGTTCTCAATGAGGTGGCCGTTCTGTACCGTTATAACGTCCTGGAGCAGATCACATACATGTTAGGGGCCCGCAGTATGATACTACTGACAGCGGAAGCTAGCTGTTTATATCTGGTACAGGGGCGGTTGGGTGGCCAGGTGCTCGTTACACCGAAGACCCGGGTGCGCTTCCCCACATAGATACATTTTGTGAAGCCCATTTCTGGTGCACACCTATCGTAATATTGCTGAATTATTGCTGAAGCGGCGTAAAACCATACTCACTCATTCAATTTGGTATGATCTCGTTAGGGACATACCATTCAATATTTGGGGGAGGAGGTGGAGAACGCATAAGGTTCTAGTGTTTACACAGAGAACAGGGGATTTTCAGTTCCAGTAAATAACAGCTCAAATAGTTATATTTGTGATCCGAAAATGAAACAAAAGCGACATTATAACAACAAATCGCTGCTAAAAATAGAGTCCATTGTAGGATTCAAAGAATATGTGTTCATGAATCACTATCAAATACTGATGATCCCAGGTGTTCGCCAAACGTTGGGTGTATCCTGCCCCACTGATGCCACCCGTCCCAAACACATGCAAGGGCAAATCAATTGTTCATCTGAAAAAACATATACTGGCATGTGTCATTCGTACCCAAGATGTAGCTTTTTGACCTGCTCCCTTTATGTACTTATATAACAAAGATGTGACCTACCGTCAGCTTGGTCACCTGATCCGGAGACATGTAGGTAAGGGGCACGCCCGTTTTGAACTTGGTGTCCAGTAATGTGCCCATCTTGACAATGTCAATCTTCATGCGCCAGTCGTCTCCGTCACGTGACAGATGGAAGGTGTAGCTAAAGTTGCGAGTCATCTCCCTTTCTTCGTCACTCATCCCTGGCATGGAGGTAGGGGAGACAATCAGTTAACCAAAACGTCTCGCTTGATACACCACAAACACATGGCTCTTGACGGTGGTGGTGAACATTATAGAACCATACATACCTGTCGTTGTATTGCTCACATAGTGATACTTAACGAATATGATGTTCATGTAACATGTCATTGATTTTGATACATGATAGGTTGAACATGTATGTGTATATTTTTCTCTCGAAATTCTGGATTCGCCTCTGAGTTAATATTCCTGTTGTGTGTGTGTGTGATTTTAGTGTGTCTTTGTCTTTGTGTGTGTCTGTGTGTTTGTGTGTGTGTGTCTGGGTGTGTGTCTGTTTCTGTGCCTGGGTGAGTATGTATATGTCTGTGTGTCTGTCTGTGTCTGTCTGTGTCTGTGTGTGTATGTATATGTCTGTGTGTATGTCTGTGTGTCTGTCTGTGTCTGTGTGTGTATGTATATGTCTGTGTGTGTCTGTGTGTGTGTGTGTGTGTGTGTGTTTGTGTGTGTGTGTGTGTGTGTGTGTGTGTGTGTGTGTGTATGTGTGTGTGCGTATGTCTCTATGTGTGAGTGAGTAAGTGAATGTGTGTATCTGTGTCTGTGTGTCTTTGTGTGTCGATCTGTGTGTGTGTGTGTGTGTGTGCGTGTGTGTCTATCTCTGTGTATGGGTCTGCGAGTCTGTGTATGTGTCTGTGTGTGTGTAAATGAGTGTTTATCTTTGTGTCTGCGAGTGTGTGTATGTGTGTGTGTGTGTGTGTGTGTATGTCTCTATGTGTGAGTGAGTGAGTGAATGTGTGTATCTGTGTCTGTGCTTGTGTCTGTGTGTCTTTGTGTGTCTATCTGTGTGGTCAGTGTGCGTGCGTGTGTGTCTATGTCTGTGCGTGTGTATGTGTCTTTGTGTATGTGTCTGCACGCGTGTGTGTGGATGTGTCTGTGTGTGTGAGTGAGTGAACGTAAACATTGGATTCAAACGTGGTTTCTAAAGTTACTGTTTTGAGTGAAACTACGTCTTGAACGTCGCGTATATTTAGGTATGACATTAAATTGTTTTGTTAGTTTCTTGTCTAGCGCCACACCCAGCTCTACTCAAGCTACATGGCGGCGGTCTGTAAATAATCGAGTCTGGACCAGACAATCCAGTGATTGATATCATGAGCATCGACCTCCGCTGCTGGGATACGGTGACATGCATCAACAAAGCCACCGACCACCAGAACCTGTTAGACACAGTTACTGGATTGTCTGGTCCAGACTCGATTATTTACAGACTGCCGTCATATGGCTGGAATATTGCTGAGTGCGGCGTTAAACAACAAACAAAAAAACAATGACCGATTTGAAATGCATGTTTTTATCATGAATCACTATAATACCTTGAATCAATATGCGCCTGCACGCTCGTGTTTATAATAGCAGTACAGTAAAACGGAAACCTACCTATAGCTTCAGCAAACTCATCATGACCAGTGGTCAGCTCGGGCACCAGTGTCCAGTCTCCCACCATGTTCTCCATCTTGAAGGTATTCGGATCAACTGCAGTGAGTCGCTGTCTACACAGTTACCTCCCTTTATACCCGGGCTGCTGCCTATCAAACCATTGTCTCCACTCTCTCATGCCACGTGACTCATTCAGATTTCATTAAACACAGAGACGTCATTATTTGATTTTAATAACGTGTCCAATTTCACCGAGATGTATAATACTTCCCAACAGGTGTTTCTGTCATTAAATACTAAAATTATCAGTGTGGCCATTGTGTCATAAAACTGCATTTTGCTTCTTTGCCAAATACCTTTTTTTATGTATTGCACCCCGCAACTGGGAGTGAATTGGTCCAGTGCAACAGCTGGGGTTTTCAAAGGGAGACAACTTTGTGTATCTTTTGGGAAGACTTACATTTTCACCATGGGCTTCTGCTGACACTTCATCTGCGTGTGGGTGGGTGGGTGGCTGAATGAGTTAGTGGGTGGGTGGGAGGGTGTGCGAGTGAGTGAGTGAGTGAGAGAGTGAGTGATGGGCCTTCGACGTGACAAACGAACGCTTTAACCACTGGGCAACCCCACCGCCCCATGGGAGAGGGAGAATTATTTATACCAGAGATACTTTTTTTTTTGCATGCATTATTACAATACCTTATTGCGTTTAGTAATAGTACATTCCTGAACCCATCAATAATGTCATCCTCTAAATCACTTTGGTGCTGTACCATCCAAATGTTAGAACGCCTGTCCAGTGGGCTAGTGGTCTAGTGGATAGAACGTCAGCCCCGGGTTTCCAAAGTATCTGTATGTAAATAAAAGCGACACAATCCTTTCCATAATCATAGAAGTTTCTGCTGAAAGCATGTGCTATGAATCACTATCAAATAGTGATAACATCACGTGTCCGCGAAAAGGTGAGCGTATCCTGTCCATCATGGCACCCGTCACAAACACACCCAAAGGCAAGTCATCTATTCACCTGACAAAACCCTGTAACAAGTCAAAATACAAAACTGTGGCGTAAACAATGTCTATCCTGAAACCGTTCGAGAGAAAAACTAAAGCCTTGAATGTTGCTACCATGATGACGCACGTGTGCACGAGTCGTATGACGCCAAGACTACTGTCGCTGTTAAATAAAACGGAAACTAGTAACGTTATGTTCTGACATACTTCCCTTGCGTCGTGGGTGAGCCCGGGGAATGTGGCAAAAAATTATAGCAGAAGTTATTTTTTCAGTATTTCTTTTCAGAGGGTATGATTTTACATACACCCCACCCCTCATCTCGTGAGATGTGGTGTCAGTGATGCGGGTGTGGTATTCGGTCTACTGCGTGCGAACCTTTTATTTGCGATTACATCTCATGAATCGAATGGCTGTGTGTACAGCGAGTTGTGCAGGTGACAGGTAGATGGAAACAGATAAACATCATCACCAATATGAAACGTTGCGTTAATCATTCGTTCTGACACGTGTGTGTCGAGTGAGTTCCGATTGCATCACCTTTTAGCTATTCGGGACTAACGTTGGACAACCAGTTTATTGTCATCTTTAGGAGAAGTTAGTAGGGTCATCAACATTTGAGACTTTCCTGAATCGAAACAAAAGATAATCGTTCTAAAATTGAGTATCCTCTGATTTCGTCAAACCTCTGATGCGCACGTAAAATCGCTATATCTTTAGCATTTTCCGTAAACTGACCATTGCGATTGAGAGAATGCAGGACAATGTTTCTTGTCAGATAGTAAGTTTTCTTGATGGAATAGAAAGAAAGCAACGTTTTCCCGAGTGAGTGAGTGAGTGAGTGAGTGTGAGTGAGTGAGTGAGTGAGTGAGTGAGTGAGTGAAGAGACAGCTAACATTATGATACATCAGTCAACACAATTTGTGTCATAAGATGCGATTATCATAAACAAAATGACAACATACAAACGAGAGGGGTCAGTCGGAATTTCATTGTCGTATAAAATCGTATAAAACATTGTGTTAAGATTGAAATATGTGAGTGGTTCTCAGCTGAATCTCCACATATACAGGTGACAATGGGTGCGTATATATTCACGACAGGTTGAGAAAGTTACTTTGCTACATACCATGGAAGTCAGAGGTGAACGACCCGTGAACATCCGTAAGATGTCGTAAAACATCTTGTCGAAAGAGGCGTCTTATAGGATCAGGTGGTCAGGCTCGCTGACTTGGTTGATGCATGTCATCGTATCCTAACTGAGTGGATCGATGCTCATGATATCAATCACTGGATTATTTACAGACCGCCGTCATATAGCTGGAATATTGCTGAGTGCGGCATATAACAACAAACAACAAACGGAGGAAGAGCGACAAAAGTTGACACACTCTTGGCACGGGGAGGTATTTGAAGTCGCCCAATAGACAACCATATACAAGATATGCATCAGCTGGCGTTATGGGATCGTTTGACACGCATCAAACGCATGCAGCATGACTTAGCCATACGCTATGAAGAGTTGTCTACCTTAGGCCCTAGACAATCCAAGATTCGCCCCGATACAATCCCATTAAAATCAGATCTTTGTTCTCGCAACCGCTAAACAAAGATCTGAAGACATCCCATTAGGGGTCACGTCAGAACGACCTTTCATCCGACCAATCAGAGCGTCGCTTACCAGATTATGAAAGTGACAGTTGTAATGTGATTTCTAATCACGCAACTTCGAAAACGTTAACACGGGGTATTCCAAACGATAGTTACGGGTTTAACGAGTGAATCCATACAATCTAGACCATCTATTAGCCATGCCAGAATGTTCTTTGGTTCAGGTTTCAAATTTGTAATCGAGAATTTGTCAAAATATGTTTCGAAGCGTAGTCGTCAATTTGAAATTAGTGCCGTAAAGCACGAGAAAGCTACCTTCTGATTGGTCATTTCATTGGTCGGTCAAAGTTCGCGCAAGGTCGGTCTGACGTGACCCGTAATGGGATGTCCTCAGATCTTTGTTTAGCGGTAGCGAGAACTAAAATCTGATTTTAATGAGATTGGCCCCGATAATGTTTCTAGGTTTGTCGGCACCACAACCGTCCTCGTGGGTTTCATCAAAGTGGTGACCGTCTGAGACCTGCATCATTACGGGCTTTCCTCCCACATCAAGCTGACTCGCTTAGGTGAATATTGTTTCAAACGGCGTTAGACCTCCTCAGCATCCCCGTGACGCGACATCGTGTATATCAACGGCTTAATGTCCTGTGATGTACATCAAAAACTGCTATCCATTAGCTGCCAGAGGAACATGTTACTGAGGAAACACCACATTTTTCATAACCAGATTCAGTGTGGTGCAGGACAGAACCTCCTCAAACTCTCAGAAGTCAAGCTTGCGGAACGCGTTCCCCATCCACCTACTCTCCACCGCCAGCGTTGCTTAACTTCAGCTGATGACTACACACAGGACCACGCCCACACGCACGTTACAGTTGTATCATTAACCGAGTCTAGATATTGGGTTGGAAGAGAGACATTTGAGGAACCATATAAATGCCAGCTACATGTAACAGACCCCGGAAGTATTACGGGTAAGAATAGTGAGTGAGTGAGTTGGGTTTAACGCCTCTTTTAACAGTATTCCAGTTATATCGCGGCGTGTCAGCTTAATGTGGGAGGAAAGCCCGAAGTGATGCAGGTCTCAGACGTTTACCACTTCGGTGAAACCCACGAGCACGGGTATGGTGCTGACAAACCTAGAAACATAATCGGGGCGAACCGTGATTCGAACCCACATTGATAGGTTTCTGGCGTGCCAAAGGGACGCAACTCTGCACAGCGAATCGCGACTGGGCCACCCCAAAAGAGGTGACTAGGTGGATTGGGTGGTTAGGCTCAGCGACTTTGGTTGATAGCATGTCCTCCTACTACTACTCCAAGGCCGTAGAACATTGCTCATAGTATCAACCATTGGATTGTCTGGTCCAGACTCGATTATAGGGATGTCACGATAAATCGAAATATCGATATACTGCTATTGGTAAGCACTGTAAGTCAATAAATCGATTGTTAAATCAGTTTCCAATCAATATGTCAGTTAGGAATATCGATAGTTTCGATTATATGTACCATATCAATAAAATACATGCAATGCTGTTCAAATTTGTTCTTCTTTTGATCATGTGTGGTAGTAATTTACACATGGTAAAGTGGAAGTTTATTTTTCTTAAATAATGAGGCTAAAGAAAAAACAAATCAGTCATGTCTCAAACTTTACTTCTTTTCTGTTTGGTTATCACATTCAGAGGAAAGTTCAGTTCCAAGGTTTAATTCAACTCTAAAATACATATAAAATGATACACTGAAAACTATCAATATTTATCGGAAAAGTTGCTTGCAATATCAATAGTTATCGTAATAGTTTCTTTCAATATCAATAGTTATCGCAATAATGATTTCCAGACCAATGGTCACGCTTACTCGATTATTTACAACTCGCGGTGATATAGCTGAAATATCCAATGCAATAAATAACAAACAGACTCGCTTGACCAGGGACAGAGTAGATCGCCATGGTCATCGTTCCATCTTGGGTTCAGGGACCATTGCTCCACCTACGTTATCTTAAGGACCCGTGAAGATCCAGGCTAAATTAGGTCTTCAGCAAACCATGCTTGCCGTAAAAGGCGACTAACGGGATCGGGTGGCCAGACTCGCTGACTTGGTTGATGCATGTCATCGATCCAAATTGCGAGGATCGATGTTCATGATGTCAATCACTGGATTGTCTGGTCCAGACTCGATTATTTCTGAGACCGCCGTCATATCGCTGGAATATTGCTGAGTGCGGCGTTAAACAACAAACCAACCAACCAACGTTATCTTAAGGCGGACGTAGACATCACATATCGTTGCATTCAGACCATAGCCTCTTTCCGCCTTGCGTAATTCCATTGAAGACTGAGATTGAATCAGGTTAAATATTCACAAACAAGTTGACATCAAGGGTTGCAAATGTTAACAATATATGACATGGTCATGCAGGGGGTTACGGGTTTTAAGGCTAAACGGAATGTCATGTTGTGTCTGATTTGTGTTCCCTCTTGAAGTA